TCCTGCTTCCTGGCCAGCTCAGCCCAGAGGGGGCCAGATGGGGGCACAGTGGTGAGACACAACGCTCTGCCAGGCAGTCCCACCTGGAAGGCTCCTGGTTCAAGTCTGGAGATATTCCTGAGTACGCCAGGCACACCAGTGCCCATGATCTGGGGCTGGCTATGGAGCCAAGACCTGGCTGAGTGTGTCTCATCCTCTCCATCTCTCTGTCTCTCTTATTCATGGAAGCAATAAATAGATAAACTCTAAAAAAATCTTAAAGAACGCAGTTTCAGTGGAACAGGGCCAAAGAGGACATCTGCCTGGAGATACGGGCTGAGGGCCGACGAGACGGGAGCTGCAAGCCCGCGCTGGCCACCTACATTCTGGGTGTGTCTGCCAAGCAGTCCTAGAGGACCCTGACTCGAACGGAGGCAAACGCTGTCTGCCTCTCTGTCCCACTCTCCTGTCCTGCAGTTCTTAGTTGAGGTCTGGTTTTGCCTCGTGCCACCTTTTCCACTCCCTACTTCCTGGAGCATAGTCTTCTCTGTTCCCCGTGGAACCTCCAGGCACTTGGCTGGTCTCGGGTTGAAATACCAATCTGAAACCACCGCGGCCTTCCAGAACCACAGTCTGGGGACAACCACCACAACCCAGACTCCAGCACAGGAAGTGGATGCCACATTCCCTGGAGCCCAGAGAGAAGGTGGCTGGCCTGGAGTCTGGGGCGGCCTTGCAGAGTAGGTCCCGAAGTAGACGCAGGAGGACGGATGTCACCGGGAAACACGGCAAAAACCGTGACTTGGAGGTTAGGGGCTTGGAGGCCCTGAGCTTGGTGCCACTGCAGGGTACAGGGATGGTGCCCCCATGCGCCCCAGCAGCAGCCTGTTTTGGTACCAGTCAGGACACTCAGGGGACAACACGGGATTCTGAAGTGGGGTGCATCCTTCAGAAAGGCTGCGAAGAGTGTGCAGAGCAGTGGAAAGAGGCCCAGGGACTGCAGAGGGGACAGGGATGAAAGATATTCTGAACTGAAAGATATTTATTTGCTTAAGATCTTGAGATAAGTCAGTTGGACAGGTGGGGTATGACCCAGACTACTTTACAAAGGAAAGATAACTGGGTTTTCTTGAGGGCAGGAGAGGATCCTGAATTAGAACACAGGTCTCTGATCTGCTACTTGTTCACCGGATGATTGTGAACAGCAGATGTGGTTGTCTGGAACAGGACTGAGTTTGGGGCCCAAGTCCCCCCTCACCCCTGGCCTCGCTGGAGAGTAGTGCTGTGTGCACATTGGTGAGTGGCCTCCAGGAACAGCACACTTTGAGAGAGCATATGCTCACGCTCAGGTGTTGCCAGAGGCCAAGCGGGGGGGGGGGGGGGGCTGGCTGCCTCCATATCTCAACACCCTAACCCTGGGGAAGGAAGAAGAGGGCCCTGCCCAGTATCCAAGATTTCAAATGGTGCCAGAAACTTGGCACAAGTTTGGGAGCCTCGAATGACTGAGAACAGATATTTCACCAGCCTGAATGGGAGGCAGAAGGGGGCTGGCAGTAAATGCTCTTTATTTAAAGAAAATGAAGAAATGTGGGCTGGCCCTGTGGCATAGTGGTTAAGGGGACAGGATCCCGCATAGCCAACCTCAGTTCAAATCCTAACACCAGCAGCTTGAAAATCGTCTTGTGCATGTAAGCATGCATGTGTTCCCCGAGTCCCAACAGGATGGAGAAACAGAGGAGAAAGGATCGCAGTGTGACCACACCTACTGGGGGCTGGCTTTTCCCTGTCTCTCTGGTGAGCATATACTGCCTCTGGCAAACACATTTAAAAAGAAAGGAAGTAAAGAAATGTGATGTTTCTTGCCCACCTGTGTTTATGGATTTAAAATTAAAAAGTTTGGGGTGGAGCTTTTTGAAATTTGTCACCAAAATGACCTTCCAGCTTTATTTCTCCTCAACCATCTCTTTATAGTCTAAGGACAAATCATTGTTTGGTCTCTTCAGAACAAAAGGCGGGAAGCACTCATACGTAGTACATTGCCGTAGTACATTGCTTTTTTGTCCAGAATCCCCTTCCAGCTATTTCTCACACTGATCTGTAAGGCCAAGCCTAGCGTCCAGCCTTCATCTTCCCAGAGGAGCCCTGGAATGTTCCATGCTAGGACCCAACCTGCAGTCCGTTCTCCTCCTTAGCTGCTAGCAGCTCAAGGGCAAAAGCCACTCCAGGTTGTGTCCTTAAGCACAGGAAGGACTCCGTGGTGCTTATCAGTGAAGGGCAGAATGATCCATGCCAGGAGAGGATTCTTTTTTTTTTTTGGATTCCCCCGCTCCCAGCTCTCCAGACCCTCGGCCTAAGGGACACTGAGGCAGGGCCCCCTGCCCCAGTTCCAGCCCTGGCACCCCCAAGCCTAGAGACCCTCTATCTCTGTCAGCCAGGACCACCCCCAGCTCGACAGCAGACCAGGACAGAATTCTGAGGGCCCAGGTCTTATTCATGTCTCCAGCTGCGGCTTCCATACAGTCCTTTGGAAAGTACCACTTCCCATTGGCCCCAAGGTTTATTTGAACACGGGATTTCCTCCTGACTCACAGCGCCTGGGCTGAGGCCAGGAGTGCTCCGTCAGAATTCCAGCAGGGAAGGACTGCTGGAAGCCATTGCTGGCGCCCTCCCTGTCCTGTGGAAGGCAGACAGGCTGAAGCCCGCCTTTCCTGAGCTCCTTAATTAAATGGAGACTTCTGTGACTTCAAATTCGTCAGTCAATGCCAACTGTCAGAAGTTGTATTGTTGACAAAAAAATAATTCTGTGGCTAGAACAACTGAATTTCTTCCATAGCTGTTAAATATAGAAAGTAGGAAGACAAACATCTGGTAACAGAGGTTTTGTTCGGAATAGGCAGTTGCCAAAAAAGAAAAAAAAAAAAGCATTAGTCAGAGTCTAGAAAAATAGTGTTTTACCACATAATATTTAGAGACAGAGCTGAGGAGGAATGTAAGAGAACTATTAAAAAGCTGATTTTTCCAGATGCAGTCCTTAAGATAGTCTTAGGGAAAATATATTTTAAATAAGAAACAACTTCCAATTCATTGAGAGAAGTTTTAGATGGTTAAAAACAAAGTCCCTACTGTAAAACTGTTACAACTCCTGGAGATCGGCTGAAGATTTAGAATCAACAACCCTCAGAACACAACTTTGAGCTAGACTTTTTTTTTTAGTAAACTTTAAAAATGAATGCAGTTAATATGTGGGCACATTTGTGTTATAAAAATACAGTTAAAGCTGAAGTTCCTCTTAAACAGCCCAACTCAATCTCTTCCCCAGAGAAAACCATGACCCTTAATGCTTCTCTTTCAAGAAAGTTTTGTCTCACTTACAAATATAGTTCCTTTTTTGTTTTTTAAAAAAGTTTATTTCTTCCATAAGCAACCACAAGAGACAAAATCCCCCAAAAAACTTTTTGTATTATTTATTAGTTTTTTTGGAGAGGTTTTTGCTCTAGGGTACGTATGCTCGCCAGAAGGACAGAGACAGACAGAGACAGAAAGTGAGAAATCACCCTGAGGGTGGGGGTGGGGGATGGCCACGCCGCAATCCCTTCTCCATTTTCCTCTCAGAATCTTGGGCACGCTCACACACACGCACCCGGTGTGAGTTTAAGCCACCAGGTCCGGGACTTGAACCACAGTTGACTACATAGGAGTCCAGCCAAACAGCCATTACACTAACTGCTGCTCACTGGGAGCACTACCTTCTTGGCTTGTAGTTGCTTGTCTTCTGCTGGGTCCTCTGATGGTTGAAAAAGAGCTCTGGTGTCTCTCTTCAGTTAAGGTCTCTGGCCCTGTAAAGTTAGTCCCTCTACCCCACAGTAATGTTATATAACCTTTATTGCCTTTCATTTGAGGCCCTTTCCTCAAATACAGTAATACTGGGGCTTAGAGGATTCAACCTATGAATTTGGGGAGAGGAACACATTTAGTCTGTAATTGTCTTTAAATATCTTTTTTAGAATAGTTTTTATTTAACAGAAAAATGACAAATATGGTACAGAGATTCCTGTATACTTCTGACTCAGTTTCCCTACTGTTAACACCCTACATGGCCGCAGTCCCTCGTGACGACTAAGAAACAAGCTGGTACACTGCAATGAACTAAACTTAATGCCTCATCTGGATTTTGCCGGCTTTTCCTCAATGTCCTTTTTCTGTTCTAGGAATCAGTCCAGGATGCCACATTCCATGTTGTCATCATGCCTTCTTAGGCCCCTGTGGTCTGACAGTTTCTCAGACCAGAACTATCAAGCTGATCTTGTTCTTGATGATCTTGATAGCACCTCAAAGCTTTGAGATGCTCTTCCCGTTTTTTTTTTTTTTTTTTTTTTTTACTATAGGGCATGGGCACCCCCCAGAAAGACAGG